TGGGAACTGCTATGCTGTTTTGTGACCGTCTTTCTATTCTGTTGGGGTTATTAATGACCAAATTAGGTTTTTCTGGATTTACCCACACAGGAGCCAGAGTGACACTGTGCTGTCTGAAGGAGGGTGACAACACGGCAGTGGCCTTGGCCAGTCCCCCCGGCACGGTCCTGCCTGCCCAAGTGCTGCCAGCTCTGAAAAGTTTAGTTCTGAAAGAGCCACTCTCCTTGACCTGTTTATTTTTGCCCACGTTCGTGGCCTGCGTTGTGTCCCGAGGAAGAGGTCGTGCTGCTTGAAGGCCCTTTATTTTTAGCCAGCCTAATTTTCTTGTTGCAGCTTAGTGGGAGCTGGTCCTTTCAGTTCAACTCCATCACAGCTCACGCTCCCCTGCATTTGCCAGCTCTTACCCAGGTCCCTGATGTTCTTTGTACAGCGATTGCTCACTCAGTGGGTTTCCTAACCCCCTTCCACCAGGCTTCCTCCCTTCTCCTTTATGTTCTGCTCAGCCTCTCCCACTGCTCTAGGTCCATGGCTTAACCTCCGATTTCCCTCTGCCCTCGGCTTGCAGCGGGTAACAGGCTTTCACAACCGCAGAGGCAAGTCGCCAGGCTTGTCCTGGATCCCAGCACCCCTCCACAAACAAAACCTTCCCTCCCGTCTGCTCCAATAACCTTGGCAGTGCTTCCCCTCCTCAGAAATGTCAGGAAATTGGAAATTATGCTCTAGCCACATAAAAATCAATAGCTGCCTCCTTGGCCTGGCTTGGCCCTGCTCTTTCTACCTTTACCCAGGGCAGGAGGGAGCGTTGTTTTCTGCTGAACTTGGAGCAGTGATTTATTGACAGGACCCATCCTGCCCAGGCAGCTGACCAGCGATATATGTATTTTTCTCAGCCCATCCATGCAGCCCAGAGCAGTGGCTTGTGCTCGGTCACAGAGGGGTGGGCACAGAAATCTGGACCAGGATATTTTCTTTCTGTGACTATGGAGCAATAGGTAAGGACTTCAACTCACTCCTAGATCTGGGTGAACTGCAGTAGGAACAACGCCGAAATGAATTTCATTTTCCAAAGGGGTCAGTCCCGGCAGGGGCCATGTGCAGTTTCCATCAGAAGCTATGGCTCCAAGACAAAAAGGAATTCATTATGAGGACCACAGATTACATCGCAGACTGCCTTTATTATTCCCTGGACTACTACCAGAAGGCACAGTGTGATCGAAAGAGCAGGAATGGTTCTAAGGTCCTATTTCTTGGAAATCTTTAGGGCTATATTCATTTAATTTAAAATACAGCTACTGTTGGAAACCAAACAGCATCACCTTTTCAGCTGTAGGAAGCATAACACAATTGGTAAAGGTTACAGGGGACTAAATCCTTTCTGAAAATCAAGCCAGCTCCTGTTCGTATCCTTGAAAAATCTTTCTCTTGGGAGCCCTGCTAATTCTCCAGGCGCTGGACATGGGGGAAGGTTTGCTCCGAGCGGTGGCTCTGCACCATCCCTGCCTTCTGTCCCCCACCGCATTGAGCTTGATTTTATGTGCCAGCGAGGCGGTAATAGGGATCACTCTCTAATGCATCCGTGATTACATGGAAATTGAAGTGTGACAGAGAAAAGAAATGAGGCAATTGAGAGGCGTGACTCTGATGCCCGACCCTTCTCCCTGCTGCTAGCGTCACCCCAAGGACCGATATAAACGATGCCAAATGGGTATATTTTCCAGTGCCTGGTGTTGATGAACAACAAATCACAGGAAATACTTAGCTATTTTCCTCTGAATGGCTTTATCTGGACCTTCACATACTCCCTACTTTGATTTTTGGCTCCTTATTAATGAAAAATATGCAGGGAGGATGGTTGTTGATGATACATGAGCCAAGAATAGATTGCAGCTCCTTTTACCATTTTGGCACCAAAATGCCAAGAGGGATGAGACACCCTGTAGTAAACACTGTTCATTTGGAGGCAGCAACTAGAAAATATGGCTCTGGCTGAGTTAGGGAGAAGAAAGGATGAGCCAGAGGATCTGTGCTTCACCTGGTCATATTGCTGGATCAAATGGGATCTGTAGAGCCGGGAAATGGCCTATTCCCTGGGAAATGGCATGTTCCCACCCAGTGAAGGGGTGAAGTGGTATCCTAACGTCTACAGCTCTGTGCCAGTCTCTCCCCTTGACAGTGAGGTTGTCCTCGGGCACTCAAGGTGCAGGGCAACCTTTGCAGGACGTGCTGCTCTGCCCCATAACTACCAGTTTCTTCTTTAGCTGCTGCCTCCTAATTCCGCAGGAAAAAAAAAATCTGAGCATCTCCTCCACGCACGTCGCTCCTCGCACCCCTAGCAGGGGGGTGTCCCTCCTGGGAACACATCCTGCTCCTCCTGAGCGGAGGGAACCGTTAAAGAAGAACATGACAAATGAGGCTCATTAGCAAAGCCAAAGGTGGAAAGCTTGCAGTAGTGTGAGCTGGAGCATTTGCTTGGGCTGTCTGTAAGTGACAGCACTCCCCTCCCCGTAGGTCGGTACCTTCTGGGAAACGGCTCAGTGTGAGCGTAGGAAGAGCCAAATCCTTGATTTCATATGGAAGAGAATTGTCAGAGCTATTGCAGCACTTGAGAGTGCAAGTACATCTGCTTCCTACCAAGATGTACTTGTCTGCTTTGGACTCGGGGTAGGATGTGATAATGAAAGTCTCTCTCCCTTTCTCTCTTTTGCTAAAGAGTTTGCAGCTCTTCCAGCAGCATTCCCTGCTTTTCCCTCTCCTTGCTGCCCAGAGCAGTAAGCTGGAGGTGCAGACAGGCCTTGGGATGTTGCATTGGTTCAGTAAAAGCAGTTATTTGGACTCCACAGCAACTACAAGTTTCCTTCACATCAGTCTTGTACGAAACTTGCTGCAAGATCAGCCCAGGACCGGGCTGTTGGGGAGCTTGGTGCTGTGCGTTTGTCCTGTAGATGTGCCGGGGATGGGCACTGCAAGAGCACAGAGCTCCCCGAGACAGCCCGCCTCGCAGACCGCTCAGCAGCGAGAAATAACTATCATCAGCATCGTCTGCTCCTATTAGTCATGAGGGAACTATGGCAGAACGTTATCTTTGTAGGCTTTCGAGTGTAAAAGTGCAAGCTGTGAGGACTTTGGGCATCTCTGAGGATCACTGTAAGCAAGTAAGTATTAATATATGTACCTCAGAGGTGCAAAGAAAAAAAAACCCTCCTTCAGTCTGCTCACTCGCCTGGACGTGTCAGAACAGCGAGCCGTCATCTCCCGGGCTGAGCAGGAGCCGCATCGCCCGATTTAATCGCTAAATCCCACCATCTTTGCCGCAGCGATAAGAGCAACAAGACTTCTCTTCCAAAGAGCCCCTGCACCAACGCGTGCCCCGATAGCAAACACCGGCGGTGAGTACAGGCGTGATGGAGCTGTTCCTGCCTCGGTTCCAAAGCTGACACCCGGGGAGACGTACGACACACCTGCCCCAGCTCCATTGCTCGTCCGTCACCGGTTCGGGAAATGGTGTTCCAAATGACGTGTGTGTTTAGGAGGACTCTGCCCTCCTTCCCAGGCAGTGGTTTGCAGCGGGGGAAAGCCGTGCTCTGTCCCCAGCCCCATTTGTTGTCCCTTGAAACTTCACACGGCGTGAACAAGCCGCCTGCAATTTTAAAGGGAGCCCAAGGAAGATGCAGCCTGCTGCTACTGCGTTAAATTTGGTAGCTTTTGTTGTCTAGCTGGATTTATATATTTTTTTCCTTATTGTTTGCAATGCTCAACAACAGCAAAATGTGCCTTGGAAAATATACATGACATGGCACTTATCTGTGATTCGCACTGCCTTTCTAAAAGCAGTCAATAGCGCCTCATTCCCACTCCCCAGAAGACCGTCTCTCGTGTGTATCCTTTCCTTCTTGCTCTTATTCCTCTACTCTTTCATTTCTGTGGCTTTCCACCCCACCCATATTAATTGCACTTTTTCCCTGCTGCACCAAGAACTCTGATTTCTGGTGACATTTTATCAGCCTGCAGAGCACCGTGAGAACTGCTAAATTCCACAAATTAGCAAATTAGTGGAAGAAAAAAAAAAAAAAAACCAAACCAGAAGATTCCATCCATAAGCGACATGGGGACGAGGGAAGTTCTTTTGCCTCCTCCCTTAATCTTTGCCCAGGGCCTGGCTGCAGCTGCCTGGCCCCGTTTCCCCGAAGCAGAAGCAGCGTTTGGAGCAGCTCGGTCTGTGCGTTCAGCCAACACTGGCACTGGCAGCTCTGCCTCGGTAAGCACAATAAAAAGCAAGAAAAGGCAAACTATTGCATCACGTTGCTCTGCTTCGAGGCGTTTGATGGTGTTATGCAGCGTGCATCGATGTAGCGTGTTTTTTGGAAAATCAGGATCTTGATCCCCCAATGGGTAAATCTGCCCTGGAAGAGGAAAAATGGCAATATTGGGGAGAGCAGGGTGGTGACCAGAGCTGCTGGGGGGCGGGAGTGGTCCAGCAGTGTCTTTGTTGATCTGTTAATCTGTTGATGCATTAACACGGTGTTCATGAGACTTACCAGGCTCCTGTGCCGAGGAGATACGGCTCGTGCCGTCGCCCTTCACGGGAGCGTTAGGTAAGGCTCT